AAGCGATTTTTGGTAAAACGAACGTTTGTTTTGAAATTTCCTGATCGTGTTACGTTACACCAAATCATGATTCGTTACTGGCTAATCTTCTGTCGATCATCATGTGACTGCAACATTTTTCAGGCGATACTGGGGTAGTTTCGATAAGGAGATAAATCACGTGTTGCTGTGTCGGTAGTTATCCCCGCGATTTAACCCCTGTTGGAAGGTTAGCCCAGGTTACACGGAGAGCTAAAAAGTTGCAACATTCGATGACGATGCAAAATTCTAAGATAATAATACACTTGCATTAATATATACAGTCATCTTTTAACAGTTTTGCGAATCAGGCAATATTAGATAAAAGAAGAAGTGATAAAAAGTTCTCGTCCCGAAACAGCCGGGTCGTACGCTCCCGCAGGTCTCGAACTGTGAGCTACCCTGTGAAAGAATAACCCCTATCGATTTTCTAAAATCATCATTTGTGTTACCAGATCTACATACGTACTAAATCAGATTCATATTTAAAATGGAATTCGGTTCATCATAAAAAAATCAATTAGTTTACAGTAGACCCATATAACCTTGGATACGATTATCATCCCAGGATGGTATTATGAAAAAGGAATTGGAGTTAAAAAGGATGAACATAAGGCATTCATCTATTATCAAAAATATGCAAATATGGTAATTCTAGTGTCTTGGAAGTTGTTATGAAAAAGGAATTAGCGTTAAAAGGGATGAACATAAGACATTCATTCACAGTATTATCAAAAATCTGCAGATATATGAGTAATGCCACTGGAATGTAGAATCTTGGATGTTGTTACAAAAAAGAAATTGGAGTTGAAAACGATGAAAAAATAAAAACATTCAAGTGGTGCATGAAGGCCGCAAAGGCGGGTGATGTCGATGGAATACGTAAAGTACATTTATGATATCTATATGGAACTGGAGTAACTAGTGGCTAACCATTGTATAGAATGTAGGTTATACACGTATTTAAATAAATATGTTTATATTTGGCACAAGTTTACTAATTTATATAAAAAGGAGACGAACAAATAATTTTAACGACTAGAAAGAAATATTGAGCGATGAGAGATATTATCAACTATTATTGATTCCATACGATGAATTCAAAGAAGTTTGTAACGGTGAATTTTCAACAGTATATCATGTAGAATGGTCGTGCAATCTTTTCATAAAATCGAAAATTGCACTTAAATTGCTACATCAAATTATGATGAATTTAAGGTAATTTTACTATTACAGTATTTAACTATTCAATTATGTGGCTAAATAATTTATTTGGTTAAAAGCATATAGTAGGATCGCGTACGAACATCCTTCATCTCTAAAAATTTCATGGAACAACACAACAACCGGTCTCCATATAATATATTCTTAAACTTCGAATCAAAAGGCTCTTTACGAGATATCCTTTAAGATGTATCTTGAATGAAATGGAAACATAAATCAAAACTATTAAATTATATTATTTCTAGTCTTGAAGCAATTCATTCTCGAGGATATTTTCGGTTAGATTTTAAACGTTTTACAAGACGATTTTCGCAGTGCGTACATCTCTGATCTGGAACTATCAAAATTTGATTCCTAACAAAAGAAGCACGGAATTCTGAAGTTCTGCCCCGGAAATTCTAATTGGTAAAGCATCTATTATAGCTTTAGATATTTATTCATTTGGAACGATAATAGAGCCGAAACACTCTGTGAAGCTTTTATAAAATGGCAAAAGGACAGAAATGTTTGTTGGAATTAAAAAATTCCGTATTAAAACTCGAAACATTGAAAAATCATATTTAGACACATTTAGTAGCGTAAGCAAATTTATTCCGTATAGTGGGGTCAATTTATATATTGGCGAAGAATTACAGAATCTGGCAATCGATGGTACTGATTTGGTCTTTTTTATGATTGTATACGGATTTTTCTTTTTTTTTTCTTAAAAAAAAAATACATATATATATATTCCATGTGGGATTTTTTTTGTTTTTATGCTAGGTATCAGAACCGTCTAAAATCTGTTTAATTCAGCCGACATTAAGATATACTTGGCCAGGAGCGATAATTTATCTGTAACTAAGGCAAATTCTGCGTGTGGTTAAAAAAAAATTTGCGATGTGATGAGCTGTTTTTTAACGTTTTCTGCAAAATTCTGTGATAGAGTAAATCCGTTAGTTTAGTGTTGATCCGGTGAATTAATGTGGTTAAAGACGTAAAATATGCAAATATACGTATTTTACTTCCATATTAGAAACCTCCTAAAAGACTAATAAATTTTTCGTTTGTGTATTTAAATGCGCTTATTTTAATTAACTATTTATTTTTGTGTATAACAAATACATAATAAGAAAATTTGTAATTTATTTCTTTTAATTTGTTGACTTATAAAAATTTTTTACAATGTTTTGATGTGGTACACACACTGATATGATTAAAAAGTCTTCCTAATCTTATAAGATTCTTTAAAAACAAAATTTTAAATTCAAGGAAATGTTTCCTGTGATATACTAGGTGAATTTTAACGTTTTTATTACGGTCATTTTGACCTGGGTAAAATAGAGTTTGCCTTAAAGCATCGTCTCACATATCTCTTTGATAATGATTTGTTTTTTTTTTTTTTTTAGACAAGCCGGAGGCTATTTTATTATAATAATAGATGGTGTAGTACCGGTTAAAAAACAAGTAGTTGGCCAAGAATGGGCCAGGGCGGCATAACATCCCGAAAAATTGCAACAAATATTGCGCTGGGAGTCACCATAGGATTAATAAGCCGGTGGTTTCCCACCTACCGAAGCAAGCCGGCTTTGAGTTGAGACTTACAAGAATTGCTAGCGCTAGTAGGAAAATGAAATGGTAGAATCACGTGGTCATCTGCAGGTGAGTTGGGTGGGTCGAGAAATTCGTTTCTGGGTCAGTGTATCTGCATTTTCTGGTCTCTGATATGCATGAATTTGACGCCGTATTGTTCCTGCAATGCTGACATATGTCGAGGCATTACTCGCATATGATTCTCGGCTTCAATCAGTTTCCTTTTATATTGGGTCCCGTGTGGCTGCCTCTCTTTTCGTTCACATGAACTACTATCACTTCCATGGATTTGTAAGATTATCATCGATCTATTTGTTGTAATAATCATATAGGTGGGAAAATTTTTCATAGGCTTAGTTTTGTCATCGTATTTTATTATGAAGATCATTACTACATTATTATGTCGAAGTTATTACTTCATTTTCGGTAATCGTTATTTTTACATATTTTGTAAATAGTACATTTTCCCTTATAATATGTAATTATGCTTGTATAAATATATATAATGTTCTTTGGAAGAGTGTAATAAAAAGTTCGTACAACATTTAATAAAATACTCACCCCGCATAATTTATGCTGCGCCCAAAGCTAATTTGTTGAACACAAATATCGCTCTCCCAATTCTGGTTCCCTTTTATCATTATATAATCAATCATAGTTAAGGATATGCCGAATGTTCTGGATGTTTCGGATTGTAGATCATCGATAATCTGTCAGTGCTACTAAAATTATTTAAAGGTCGAATTTTTATCCTTTTTATTTTCTATCTTATTCAAATAATGATAATACTACCAGGTGATAGCCTTTTCAAAATATTCCCTAACCTTAAAGACATTACCTTCTTGTAATTCGATATTAGTGTAGAAATGTCATGGAATAAATTAATATTATTTCGTGATTAGAAGTAGCAAGAAAAAGTCTTCAGTCTTTAAACGCTAAAGAACAAACATTATTAATAACATTTCAAATAACACTTTAACTAATCCGAAACCATTATGCGAATATGCACCATATATCAACTCGATGCACATTTGTTCGAACGATGGAATACTCGATTGGATCAAGCATGAAAGATATGAAATAAAAAATCCTTAATTGGAATGTTCTTACGAATGAGCCATAGGGTTAAAGACTTAATATTTTTTGAAATCAATCATGATCAATTTATTAATGTATTAGTAAAAACACTAGGCTTTTCTAGCTGAAAAACTTTGTAAGAGCAAAACTTATATAACGGTGATGGTCAACTTGGGCTTTATGAATCAAGAGCATTAGCGAAGATTCTTCTATTGCAGGCAGATTTTAATGTAAACATAACAGACGTGAAAATAAACAATTTATGAAGCAAAAATTAGGCAATTCGCCGGAGGCATGATTTAGCGAAATGTTTAGAATTAATAACTTTAGGATTTATTTGGTTGGTTATTGTCCTTTTACAATGGCGTTTATAACGTTAAGAAGGCATATAAGATCCTAACAATGTGGTCCAAGCAATTAAATCATCGTTAATTCGAATGTTCTTACAGACGAGCCAATCAATCATCAATTAACTCAAAAGGATTGGTGCTGCTAGTTGAAGCACTTTGTAGGAGCAAAACTTTGACCACTTTATATATCGGTGATGAACGCCTGGGCTTCGCGGATTAAGAGCATTAGCGGGGATTCTTCTGTTACAGCAGATTTTAACGCAAGCATAGCAGACAAGAGAAATAATTTACGAAGCAAGAATTTGGTAATTCGTCAGAGGCGTGGCGTGGTGATTTAACGAAATGTTTCGAATTAATATCTTTAGGACTTATTTGGTTTATTTTATATTCGATTTATTTGACCGAAGGTTCTTGTTCTTTTTACAACGGCAAAAGTACAGAGTTCATAACGTTAAGAAGCGCCTCAGCTTTGAACCCAAAATTCACTCAACCCACGCCAAAACTTATTCAAAAATACGATTTTGGTAAGCAAAAGAGGTTAATATAATGTTATTCTACGGGCTTTCGCTAAGCAAGTCTCGCTTTACTATTCATTACAAGAAGTGACATATTACGTTATATTCTTCATTCATTTACTTAAATCTTCTCTTACGTTTCTCAGATGTTTTTGACTTTTGCGTTTGTTTATTGAGGCTATCATCGTGATTTGGGCCTCATGTTATGACTGAGTTGCGTTTTTATTTCTCCAATCACTGGAAGTTTATGAAAATTTTCCGGGAACGTGTCACTTCAAAAAACACAGCACTAACGACTCAGAAGCTTTATCGTGTTGAGATCAGCATGGTGATGGAATTTTATTAGCCGAAGCTGTTTTTCAAAATAAATTTTTGGCTTCATTAGATATAAACTTCGAAAGAAGGCTGCACTGACGCTGATAAGTGGACTTGGTTCGAATATGAATTTACACTCGTCGAGTCTGTCAATAAATGTGAAGAAGCAGGAAATGCATTAGCCAAAATACTTTACGCGAACACCTCTTTAGCTTCTTTAAATCTTTTGTACAATCAACTTGGTGAAAACATTATCACATTTCCTTATATAAATAACATTTTACTCATTTAGATCTTTATTCTAACCAAATAATACAGCAAGAACATTGGCAAAAATTTTAGAAAATCAGGGTGAGATTCTTCACAAAATTAAGGAACTAACTTCAGTAATGAGGAGTAAAGGCATTAGCTGATACTTTTTTGTAAAAAACATCTTTTTAATCTTGTTAACGTTGGTCACAATAATATTAGAACCAAAAGCGGTAAAGTGCTAGCAGACACTCTTTCTAATGAACTTTGCATAATTATAAAATTCAGACTCCCTTATTAAGTATTAACTAGAACATAAAAAATATTAGTACCAAAAGCGGTAAAGTGCTAGCAGACACTCTTTCTAAAAATTTCATTTTGAACTTTGTATAATTATATTAATATTAAAATTCAGACTCCCTTATTAAGTATTAACTAGAACATGATCATGCAGGCGGCTTCGTCGCCCACTATATGCAAAGATAATAGATTTGTTTGTTTTATTCTTACTTTTATTTCGGAAAGAAAAGTTCTATCTTGAATTTAATGCACCAATTTGGGCCACTCCGGAGCCAAAACTGGTGCATTAAATTTAAAGCATTTTCTATACACATGCGATAAATGAATTCCTTCTTACATTTATTAGTTTATAAGCTTCTTTATACATATTATGTTTTTTATTCGTTTGTTAGTAGTACTAATTTAACAAATTATGTATAAGCTTAAAATTAAATCAGTTAATAATATTGCTATAATAAATACTTTTAGAAACAGTCTGGTTCAAACGATGTGGCAGGCCATACTTATTAAAATATCAAATCTTTATAATATTTATCTTTCCGTCATTAGATGTTCCGTCTTGAATTTAATGAACCAATTTGGCACCTCCAGGGCCAAAGTTGATGCATTAAATTTAAAGCATTTCCCTCTCGTCATTAAATGTTCCGTCTTGAATTTAATGCACCAATTTGGGCCCCTTCAGGGCAAAGTTGATGCATTAGATTCCATTAAATTTAAAGTTTTTATTTGTCATGTAAACAATCATACTGTGATCCGTACAGCCGTAGGATTACAGTACAGCATGATCTTATCACCTGCAAAATACGTAAAACAGTTCACATCCATATATTCTGATTCGAATCTAAATTGGTAAGTGAATATAGTGCACATTTTCAGAATGTGGCGAAGCATGAAATTGAATTCCGCTGTGCAGATAGAATAACAAACCACGTAAATTTTGTTGGTCAGGGGCTGAAGGGGCTGAGGGAACTGAGTTCATGATTCTTTCGTTGTAGTTCTTTTGCCATGTTCTTTGACGGTCAGTGATTATCAATTCATCATACGGCAAAATATTCGAAGAAAAAATGGTGAAATTTAAAAAAAAACCCAAAATAGAAGCATAACTATAGATGGAAGTGGGCATATAAGTACATATAAATATACTTTCTTTACTAGAATTTAAGTTATTTTTAAATTATTCCTAAGTGTGAACAAATATTTGAAACTGGCAAATTCATAAAAATTCGCATACCTGATATTGCTGTATTGATAAGGCTAAAAATATAGCAATCATTGCCTTTCAAAATTCTTTAGAAAAAGCCTGACTGTGATTGTTATCAGGTTGCATGCAAGTTTGGAATTCTTGATAGCTGTACCCGGCAAGTGAGCTTGAATCGTTGAGGATTTCTGTTATTCTGACCTTGATGTGGTTACACAATTTCATCAGCAAGCTGGATTTAAAAAAAACTCTTACAATTTTCAAGCCATTTAATATTTATAGAAATTTAAAAGATTCTGAAATAAATGAGACAGAAATTATTAAAATTAAATAAATTTTATTAACTATTAACACTAAATGAATTTTTTTAAAAAAAATTATAGCGATAATCAAAGACCTAACAATGAAATGAATACTCTTTTGCACCAAGAAGAACTAATTTAATTAGAACAAGCCAAAAAAAAAAAAACAGCTGTTATTGTCACAATGCTAAAGCCTGCAGTTGTTGAAAAAATAATTAATTATGCAAACGAAAATATGAATGTGTATTATGAAATTAATACCAAAATTCTTTTTATTTGTTAATTTTTTTTGTTCTTTGTTTAAATTTATGTAATCAAAGCAGCATTTTTTATAAAATTAATATGCAAATTTAAAAGTTTACATTTTGCAAAAGGGTGTTTTTAGATATCTCCCGGGAGATGTGTATCTCCCACAAATTATCCAATAATGAGTCAGAATCTGTCAAAATTTCATATAATATAACATAATTACAAAGATCAAAACAAATGTTCGTCTTTTAAAAATCATTTATTTCTCGAAAATTTGCATAAAAAACCACCTTTTGTGCTCTAACAAAAAATTTCCTTATGCAATTTTACTATCTATTCCACTAAACTCTAAATCTAAAAAAAATTTAAGCCTATTCTAAATAAACTTAATGAATTTTGCTGTGGGAGACGTATATCCCAGCAAGATACATATCTCGCAAGAGATGCCTATAATTTCCCTTTACAAAATTATACAATTTTAAAACAATATATGTTATTTTTAAACTTATGAATAATATGTCAATTTTGAAGCAACATAAACTGAAAAATGGCATAGAACATATGGGTTTTGTCAATAGAAACAGCCATTTTTACATATATCTTATTTTGAGATAATTGAGTCAGACTGATTTGGGATTAATCAAATTTTCATGATTTTGATTGGTTTAAGGTAACAGGTAATCTCATGATGTGTTAGCTCTACGTAGCCTCATGTAATTTTTTCTTTTACATTATCTTTTTATTATACAAATAGACTTTAATTTATAATTGAAAAATGTCAATTATGTTAAAATTCTATGAATCTAATAAAAATCCAATTTTCAAAAAATTGTAAAAATAGGCTGTTTCTATTGATAATACCCCATATATGTTATCAAAATTTAAAATTTTATCCTTCATAAATGTATTTCTTTTGATATTTACGAGCGAAATACTGTATATATAAATTTCATATTAGAGCAAGAGTTATTTATAGTAACCCATTTTGAATGAAGAATTTCTTTTACGAATCGTATTACTACTGTGTATCTCAATTTTGCCATACATTACATCTTTTATTATTAATTATAAATATTTATTATATGGGTGAGTCAGTAGAAATCAAGCAAATTGTTTTATAGAATTTTTTATAAATCTTTAAACACCAATAACTTAAAAACTTGTTAAAATTTAATAAAAAAAATTTTAAATAAATTTAAAGAATTTATTTAAATAACATTTTATAAAGTTAATTAAGTTTTTATTGAGTTATTATTGCTTAAAGTTTTAAAAAAATTTATTTGGAAAAAATTTGCTTGATTTCTACTGACTTAACCCGTTTCTATTATTCAGGAAGGTCCAATTCATCTAGTGATATAAAAGGAGCTGTTCTTCCCTTAGAGCCACATAAAAATATCTTTATCATATGGGCGTATATTTTCGGTACATTTTCTTCGAAAGTCATTTGAATTGTATGCATAATTGCCTACCGTTTCTTTGCCTCTTTGTTTTAGAAGATGTTTAATTAAAGAGGATCTTTAACTGTAAATTCCGAGAGTTCGAATTATGATCACATAATCACATCATTGCGGCGAATTTATAACATATCCCAAAATTTGAAAAATTTTACCATTAATAAAATCATAATAATTTTTGACTAAAATAGCTTATCTCCGAGTGAGGGTATGTCATCATAATAAATTCCTATGTCTAATAAGGTACGTCAAAAGTAGGAAAGATGGGTTAGCACATCAGAATGATATAGTTTAAACGTCAAAAATCTTTTGGGTTTAGCATTGATTTGTTATATGTAATTGGGTAACTAAACAATTAGGACTCATAGTCAGAAGTTGTCTGATTGGCTAATAAATTCCAGTTAATTTTACATTATTTATACAGTTTAGAGTACTTTTTAAAAAAACGAAAACTAATCATAATGAAATAAAACCCCCGTATAGAAGGTTTCATTAGAGCTGTAGGACTCCATAGCCAAAAATCAGATCTAATTCTCGTTCGTTTAAGCAAGTTAGTAATAACTTCTCAAAACCCGATAAAATCAACTTATTTCTAAGCTAATTTTTTTAAACGGACGAGAATTAGATCTTATTTTTGACTATGGAGTCCTACAGCTCTAATGAAACATCCTATAATTAGTTTTCGTTTTTTTAAAAAGCACTTAAAACTGTATAAATAATGTAAAATCAAATTGAATTTATTAACCAATCAGACGAACTTCTGTTTATGAAGTTAGGACCAAATACTCGGATTTGGTGACCGAATTTTAGCTTAATTTTATAAATTCTCTGTGACGTAATAAATGATGTAATATAATGGTTGTTGCTCAATTCCCCGAAAGCTATTTAATCGACAGGTCACTTATCCGACATCACATAGGGTTAGGGTTGGCATTTGATTAGCTTCAGATATATATTTTGAGCAATTTATCACCCTTGTGATGTCGGTAAGTGGCCTGTCGGGTAAATAACATTCGGGGAATCGTATTAATGATTTAATTATATGATCTTTAATGGCCGATTGGTAAGAAATTTCTGGTAAAAAAGACTTGTACTTCATTCCAATAACTGTGGTACAGTATGGGAATAATGTTAGTGTGAATTCGCGTTTTGGGCTTAGTAAATCTTTTTAATAAATTTCAATACACTTAATAAGTTATTTATTGATATTACATTCAAACGAGTCAATATGACGATTTCAAAGACTACTCAATCTTTAATTCATTTACAATTGGTATGTACTGTATGTATATTTGATAATATCAGGTTAGGCCATAACAGATTTCAATACCATTTATGTTGATTGGA